CATACCAAAACATATTTGTAATAACTTTTTTCTTATTTTGGGGCATATCCATTATTTTTGTTTTTGTTTTTGTTTTTTTTTTGCCTTTTGGGTCACACCCAGCAATGCTCAGGGGTTCCTCCTGGCTCTGCACTCAAGAATTACTCCAGGCGGTGCTTGGGGGACCATAGGGAATGCCGGGGATCAAACCCGGGTCGGCTGCGTGCAAGGCAAACGCCCTCCCCGCTGTGCCATCACTCTGGCCCTCCATTTTTCTGGAGAGCCAATCAAGTGGTATTTAAATTAGTGCTAAAATGTTAGAATTTAATATTCTGGCACTCGGATTTATGATTTTTTGGTTTGTCTTAAATTTTAACTGTTTATGAAGCTGCTGTACAAATCCATTTGCAGCGATTGTTCAGGCTTGTCATTCCAATGTGAATTTGCTGCAGGCTCTTATAATACTAAGCCATAACACAAATCTTTCACACTCAAAAGAACATGTTTTTATAGCAGAATTGAGCTATGACAAAATAAAAAGGAATTAAAAAAAAAAACAAACAAAAAGACAGCCATCAGAAGATTGAGCACAGGGGCCGGAGAGTTAGCGCGGGATTTAAGGCCTGCCTCGTCCGCCACACACCCTAGCCTGACCCCTGGCGCCTCCAAGAACGACCCTGCGTGCAGAGCCAGGAGGACCTGAGCATTGCAGAGTGTCATCCCAAACCCCCTCCCAAAACAAAGAGAGAGATTTCAGCACAGGGAGATTCTTTCTTTTTCTTTTCTTTTTCCTTTCTGGTTTTGGGGCCACCCCCGGCAGTGCTCAGGGCATACTCATGGGCTGAGGGGTCACTGCTGGTAGGCCGGGGGACCGTTTGGGGGTGCAGGGGTTCTCGGAGTCGAGGACTAAACATTGAGTACCACTGGGTGTGGAGAAAGAGAAAGAGAGAAGGGGAGGGAAGTGCCTGCCCTGCCCACTATACTACACAGCCCATCCCCCCCAAGGGTGCTGAGTTTACGTGGGGACATTGGGGACAGAAGCCCTGTGTGATGCTGGGGGATAGAACCCAGGCCGGCCACAGGCTGGGCAAGCACCCTACCCACTGATCTCTCTGGCCCTGGAAGATCTTTTCTTAAATCCCTTTTGTCGATTCTCTCTTTCATTCCTGGCATCTGTGGTTAAAAGGATGAGAACAAAGACAAGGATAATTTCCCCCCAACGCCCGTTCAACTTCACCACAAGCTAGTTCACTCACGGAGGAAACAAATTACAACAGCTCCCACACAAACCTGAGTCACATCATTGTTCTTGACTCAGCACTGGTGCCAATGGCCAAACTTGAACTGCTGCTGTCAGTCAGGTGAGAGCCAGGCACATGTTAAGGGCTATTAACCTGGGACATAGGTGGGGCTTCTGCTCCATTTTACAGATGCTGCAGCTGGGAGCAAAATGGTGTCTCACAACATGCCCATCGTTACGAACCAGGCGCTGGGAAAGGAACTGAGGAGGCTGAGGACGTAGCTTAGTCACACCAGCCCACAGGGCTCACGGCTAAAACCAGTCCCTTGGGTGTTTCCTTGATCTCTCTCTCTCTCTCTCCTCATTCTCTCTCTGTCTCTACCTCCCTCCCCACCTCCCTCTCTCTGTTTCTCTCTCTTGAGTGTGTGTGCGTGGGGGGGGGGGGGCACAGGGAAGGTCTCTCAGCGATGCTCAGGACTTACTCCTGGCTTTCTCTCTCTCTCTCTCTCTCTCTCTCTCTCTCTCTCTGGGGGGAAGGTCCCTCAGCAATGCTCAGGACTTACTCCTGACTCTGCACTCAGGGTTCACTCTTGGCGACACTCAGGCAACTTTTTGAGGCACCAGGGATCGAACCTAGGTTGGCCATGTGCCAGGTATGCGCCCTCTCCGCTGTACAGAAAATGGGCACACATTCCTTTATAGAGAGTTAACCCCAACCATCAGCATTTCCTGCCACTGGTCCCTGCTGGGGAGGGAGGGAAAGAACTCATTCTAAAACCTTCCTCACCAAGAACTTTATCTGACCCCCAACACAGAGAGGCAGAAGGGCCCAGGGAAGTGGACCAATACCCCTCCCTCAGGAAGGAGACCAGTGTCTACCTGCTCCATCCCCTCCACGTTAAGATCTGACAAGCTTGAAAAACGTTTGCCCAAAAGCTCAGAATCACCCAAATTCTCCCACATAAGAAAACCCAGTGCCAGGGCTGGAACGATAGTCCAGTGGGTGGGGTGTTGGCCTCACAAGTGCCAACCTGGGCTCGATCGCCGGCACCCCAGACGGTCCTCTGAGCATGCCAGGACTGATCCTTGAGCACACAGCCAGGAGTAAGCCCTGAATACAGCTGGGTATGGCTGAAAACCAAACCAAAGCAGAACACCCAGCGCCTCCAGAAGCTACTGGAAGGTCTATCCAAACTGCTCCCTTTAGGAAGACGGGACTCAGGAACAGGTCACTGAACTTCAAAGGAACTAATCGCCCTCAGGGGAATGTTTGTGATTTAGTTTGTACCTGGCAAGACTAGATGCTTGATTTTATTTATGTATTTGGGTTCTGGGAGATAGCTGGAGATGCTCAGGGCTTACTCCTGGCTCTGTACTCAGGAATTGCTTCCGCTGATGCTTGGGGGACCAGATGGGATGCCGGGGATCGAACCCAGGTTGGCTGTCTGTAAGGCAAGTGTCCTAACCACTGTACTATCTGTCCAGCTTCCAAGACTCCACATTTTAACATTAGGTTTTGTCATTTTTGTCAACAGGGTTTGCAACAACCTATCACTAGGGGGAAAAAAAACAAAAACAAAAACAAAAAAAAACTTGGGCTCCCTGACCCTGGGGAGGGGGGGGGGGGGAATCAAAAACAGAAACAAACAAGAAAAACAGCTCAAGGAGTTTTGAAGAGGAAGCAATTCCAGCGTGGGAGAACGCCTTACACCTCTTAGAAGAGTGAACCAAGATCTGAATGTCCTGGCGCAGATTATCCAGAGCAGTGGTCAGTGAGATGGAACCTCAGACAGAACATCCAGAGCAGTGGTCAGTGAGATGGAACGTCAGACAGAACGCCAGAAACGCAGCTGAGGGAGAAGAGGGACCTTCCGGCGCAGTGCTCATTAAATTTTTAGCTGTGTAAAAGGCACACCCGCCGCGCACACAAGCCAAGACTCTCTTCGAGGTCACACGGCCACCTGCTGACATACTCCTGGAAATGTCCTGTGGTGCTTGGGGCTTTGTGGAGCAGTTTACAGCAGCCTGTGCATACCGCAAGCAAGAGTGACTGTGATCGCCAAAAAATCCCGAAGAGAAAAGCAGCTGCAGGGAGATTTCTGCCCATGGGAAGGGCGGGAGGCTGTCTCCGGTGTTTGAGTGCCCTGGCTGCGGGACCAGTTCCCTCCTCCAGGGTCACACAAACGAAAAAGATTGTAATTAGAACCCGGTGCTCTGGGGATTGAGACCACCGTGTAAGTGCCTTGACCTTCTGGACTATCTTTCTGCTAGTTTTTTTTTTTTTTAAATTCCTTCCCCCTCTGCTCAATCTTTGTGATGCTCAAGTCTTCAGAGCATGAATGCTCGGCTAAGTGGGTTACCAAGGGAGCATCAGCCTCAGAATTTCTGGCTTGTGTTTTACAAAGGATTTTATGAAATCTTTGTGAAAACGCTGGTAAATGGTCATTTGCAAACTTCTTCCAGTTACACACACAGAGGCACCTTTCCTGCACCCACGGGGCAGATCTGCAGCCAAGTTCTGGGTCAAACAAACAAGTTGTTGAAGATAGTGGCCGGGAGCAGGGAGGGGCCAGCTCAAAGTGTCGAAATGTTGCCAAGTGACCCCTCCCTCCGCGGGAGGGACAGGACAGAGAGGGGCTTTGCCTTCACAAGGCCAACCATGCTTTGGATCCAGGACACCCCATAGGATCTCCTGAGCCCGGCCAGAAGTGATCCCTGAGCTCAGAGCTAGAAGCACTGAGCATCCCCAGGCGTGTGGCCCCAAAACAAACAAAAAAGTACCATGTTTTTACTTAGTAGCAGCTGATCTTTGGGGGACGGGGAGGGAGTACAGAAATGAACTCCAACCTTACAGATGATTTCAGTCTTTAGGCAAATCACTATTCTTGTAACTCACGTCTGTACAGTGGTCAGCTGGATACAGTTCTAAGTAGCTCCGGCTGCTAGAAGATTCAACAGGGAAACAGGGAAATGTTTGCAGGGCGCAAGGGAGGGCTTAGAGGAAAGGAGCCCGGGAGGGACCCAGTGCCAGGAGGCGCTGGCCTCGGACCCCCTTTCAGTTCCCACAAGAAGCTGAAGCCGAGGCGGGCAGCCTCTCCCCTTGTTGCACAAACGAAAGGGAACGTTTTCATAACCAGCCGCGGCGCTTCAGCCAGATACCCAAAGAGAAGATATTCCAAAGTCCCGATTGAGCAAGAAGTGTGGGGCTCTGCAGGGAAGCCCCTCCTGGACTTGGTGGGAGGAGGCGCCGGTGCCACGTGGGGGGCTGGGGGGGCGAGGGTCCCTCCCCTCCCCCCTCCCCGGTTCTCAGCAGCAGAAACAGCGCCGGGCCCGGGCATCTCGCGGGAGCGCGGGTGGACCCGCTCGCCCAAGGGCCCCCGCGCTCCCCGTTCCCCTTTGGGGCTTTCCTGGCCGAGCGCGCGGATCCGGGGGTGAAGGGGATTCCGGGGAAACAGAAAAGCTGGGCAAAGGGGGCCTCGGGCTGGACACGTCTTGGGGGAGCCTGAGGGCCCTGAGCAGACAGGGGCGGCGGCGGCAACAAAGACGCCCCCGGAGCCGGGACGGCCCGGACTGGGGGCCCGAAAGGCAGCAGGTTGGCGGCGCTTCGAGGGCGCAAAGCAAAGGCGACCGGGGTCGGAGTGGACAACGGACCGCGGGGCGGCGAGGATGCCGGCGGGCCGGGCCGGGCGGGGACCCCGGGGCGGCCACCCCGCAGGGGGGAAACTGAGGCCCGGGCCGGCTCCATCCGCACCCACCGCGGGGAACAAAGCGGCGGCCCCACCTGGTTGCAGAAGACCTCGGGCTGCTGGTTGGGGGCCGGCACGGCCTGCGCGGCGGCGGCCGAAAGCAGGCGGCGGCCCAGGCGGGGCCCGAGAGCGCGGGCGGCGAGAGCGGACACGCGGAGCATGGTGCAGCGGCGGCGGGAGTGCGGGCCGCCGGGGTCAGCGCCGCGGCCTCTCCCCGCTCCCCGCGCCGCGGCCAATGGGCAGCGCGGGGCGGGGCCGGACGCTCCGCCCCCCGCCCCCCGCGCCCCGCGCCCCGCGCCCCGGCCGGGTCCCCCGCGTGCGCGACCTTTGCCGCGCCCCGACCGTCCTCGCGCGCGGCCGTGGCCCTGCAGGTGGCCCGGCCGGGACCTGGCGCCGCTGGACCTGCCCGATGCGGCCGCCACGCACCGAGCTTGGAGCAACAGGGTCCGGGGAGCCGCGCGCGAAAGCAGGCGGGGAGAGAGGCGGCTTTTAAATTCGTGCCAGAAACAAAATAACAGCAACAACAATATTATTAATAATAGTAATAATATAACGGGGCAGGAGGGCAGGAGCAGCTCCGAGGCAGTGGAGAGGGCGGGCGAGAAACGGTGGCATTCGATGGATGTAAGAAGTGGCTCTTGAAACCTGAACGCTTTGTAACTGTTCTCACGGTGATTCAATAAATAAATTTTTTTTAAAAAGTGGCTCTTGGGCTGGAGGGATAGGACAGGGGGAGGGCGTTTGCTTTGCACGCGGCTGACCCGGGTTCAATCCCGGGCATCCCATATGGACCCCCAGTTATTCCTGAGTGCAGAGCCAGGAGTTACCCCTGAGCATCTCCAGGTGGACCCAAAAAGCATAAGACCGGGGTTCGATAGCTGGAACTCCATATGCTCCCCCTAGTCCGCCAGAAATGATCCCTGAGCTCAGAGCCAGGCAGAGCCGGGGTAAGTTCTGAGCACCCCTGGGTGCGACCTTTCCCCCAACCCCTCCTCAAAAAAAAACCTAAAATTAAAAGGCAAAAGTGGATCTTGGGGTCCCGAGCGATAGTACAGTAGTACAGAGCGTAGGGAGTTTGCTGTGCACATGGCCCAACCCAGGTTCAATCCTCAGCATCCCATACGGTCCCCCCAAGCACCACCAGGCGTGATCATTCCTGAGTGCCAAAAAAGCCAGCAACAAAAACAGGTTGCAGCACCCCATATGGACTAATTCCTGACACCAGTAGGAGTAATTCCTGAGCACAGAATTAGGAGTCAATGCTGAGCACGGCCAAAAACAAACCAAAAATGTGAATCTTGGACAGGGAGATTATTCAAAGATTACTTACGTGAGTGAGATAAGGACTCACATTTATTAGTAACTTTATTTATTTTTTTTGGATTTTGAGCCGCACCAGGTGGTGCTCGGGGCTGACTCTGTGCTCAGGAGTCACTGCTGGCTGAGCTCTTGGTAACCTGTGTGGTGTCAGGGATGAAAGCCCAGCTGCAATGCGCGAGGCAAACATCTCACCCACTGAACTATCTCTCTGGCCATTGAGCAACATTTTTCTGATATGATCATTTCACTTGCAAAAATCTCTGTAGATGTATCTCACAAATATATTTGACTAGTTAGTTGGGAAAAGGTTAAAGAATAGCAATATATTGTCAGTGCAGCTCGCATTCTTAGACAAAGACTTTAGAAAGCCGTGATCAGATAGAGCAGTGTTCACATAGATTGATTTGATTTTCTATATGTATTGATTTTAATATTGCATCTTTTTTATCTAATGTTAATTCTAGAACTGTATCAACAATGATTTTTTTTACTTTTTAAAATTTTTATTAGTGAAACACCATGAGGTACAGTTATAGACTTACAAATTTTTGGGCTAGGGTTTCAAAATATTGGAATGCTTCACGAATTTGGGTGTCGTCCTTGCACCGGGGCCATGCTAATCTTCTCTGTATCGTTGCAATTAACAATAAAATATTTTTTAAAGGTTGGTTGTAAACACACACATGAAGAGTATCGATATATTTTATTTTTACATTTTTTGGTTTGCGGTACCATGAGTTACAAACCTGTTAATTATAGGGTTTCATTCTGCGATGTTCCAGCACCCACCCCTCTTTTCTTTCTTCCCCCACGGACCCAGTCCCCCACCCCACACTACCCTCCTAAAGCCACAGAGAGTGACCCCCAGGAGCACATACGGAATAGCCACTGAGCACTTGGACCCCCCAACGAGTATCGCCTTTTCTCCTCTGCAGCCCCCTACAATCCTGCACATTCTTTATTCAGGCTGATGAACACTCGCATTGTCTGCTGTAAATAGCTGTAAATACCTCAGCAAATACTGGAGTGCAAACATTTTTATGATGTTAGCTTCTCACCTTTGGATCTATTCCCAGAAACGGTTGCTACATGATGGTTCTGATTTTCATTTTTCTCATTTTGGTGTTTTTTGGTCACACCCAGAAGGGCTCAGGGGTTACTCCTGTCTCTGCATTCAGGAATTACTCCTGATGGTGCTAGGGAGACGATATGGGATGCTGGGGATTGAACCCAGGTAGACCACGTGCAAGACAAATGCCCTACCGCTGTACTATCTCTCCAGCCCTAAAGTTTTTGTGACAAATGGACACTCCATGGTCGCTGAACCAGTTTATAATCCCACCAACAATGCATAAGCCCCCCCCCCCATTTTTTTATTTTTGGATCACAACCGATGATGCTCAGGGTTTACTCCTGGCTCTTCAGTCAGGAATTACTCCTGGCTGTGCTTGGGAGACCCTATGGGATGCTGGGAATTGAACCCGGGTTGGCCGTGTGCAAGGCAAACGCCCTCCCCACTGTGCTATCTCTCCGGCAAAAGCTTCCCTTTTGTCTGCACCCTTGCCTCATTTGATATCACTTATCTCTTTGATGCTGGCTATTCTAACAGGCACAAAGGGAGAAGCTATTTTACTGGACTCTGGATTCATTTTCTCCCATGAATTTTCTAGGAATGAACATTTAAGTAGATTCCAAACTTTTATCATTCCAAACAATGCTTCACAATGCCTTGACTTACTTGAGCAATTCATAGAGATGAAAGCCAAAGAATATTTGCAATTTCAGTCTAAATATTGCTTATCACCCCCATAGAAGTTTCACTAACTTATGCCTCCAATCATGGCTGAATTTCCCCACCCCTTCGATATAATTGGATAGTTTTGTTTGTTATTTTGCTAATCATGTGAAAATTAGCATTCCACTCACATAAATTTATTTTATTATTATTATTATTTTTGCTTTTGGGGTCACACCTGACGATGCACAGGGGTTACTCCTGGCTCTGCACTCAGGAATTACCCCTGGTGGTGCTCGGGGGACCATATGGGATGCTGCGGATCAAACCTGGGTTGGCCGCGTACAAGGCAAACGCCATACCCCCTGTGCTATTGCTCCAGCCCCAAGTTATTTATCTTTTTGGGGAGATGGGGTCACACCCAGCTGTGCAGAGGGCTCACTCCCTGGTGGTGTTCAGGGGACCATGTGTGGTTCCAAGCATTAAACCTAGCTTGCAAAGCAAGCCCGTACCCGCTACCCTCTCCAGCCCTGCATCTTTCTTCTTTGGAGTGAGTTTGAGCATCTTTGCCTACGAGAAATCAGGTTTTCCTAATTTCCTTCTAATTCTTTTTCTTGTATTGTTGGTGCAAGATGAGCAGCCCTGGGTGCTGGTGCTGGCACATTACATGTTGTGGTGCTCACCGGGGGCTGCCCATCTTGCTTCCGGGTGTCCATCCTGCTTTGCCAGGCCTCATGCTCTTTTTTTTTTCCTTTTTGGGTCACACCCGCGATGCACAGGGGTTACTCCTGGCTCTGCACTCAGGAATTACTCCTGCCGGTGCTTGGGGGACCATATGGGATGCTGGGAATCGAACCTGGGTCAGCCCGTCCAAGGCAAACTCCATACCCGCTGTACTATTGCTCCAGCCCCACGGTGCATGCTCTTAGCTAAGGCAAACAACTACGGCTGTGGTCGCTGTGGTGCTCACGCATGTGCCCACCAGTGGTCACTCTTCACGTCCTTGGTCCATGCACACCTTTTGAGGTGCAGCGCTGGGGTGCCAGGTGGCCCTTAGCGCTGAATGCTCGGATCCTTGCATTGACCATCAGCCTGAGTATCACCGGAAATGGCTCTTGGATACCCTGTACTCACTTGGGTGTTCCCTCCCCCCAAGAGAGAAAACCAACTTGACAAGATGAAAAATGGCTTTCCAAAGTGGCCCCCGTGACCACTTCCAAAGAGGTCGTAGAGCCAGGACTGAAGCCAGGCCTGGGGGAGTCCGAAATTGTGGCCCAGACGCTTTCTCTGACAGACCCGAACAAGGCTACTCTAGTCAGGCCTCAAGCTTGGCCTATAAAAACGGCAGGTTCTCAGCACCATGATTCTGTGGGCCCCCAGCCCCCACCACCGGAGAAAAACTGACACAGTGTCCAGTTGCTCAAGATAAGGCTAGCTCTTATGAAAGTGGTTGGCTTGAGAAAACTCAGAGTTGCCCAAAAAGTTTGTTTCAGCCCACACTAAGAGGGCGGGTTTCTCAGTCAGTGGGAGGTTGGGCGTCCAACTCTGATAAGACCAGTTGTTAAAACCACAGCGGTTTAGTGTTTATGGTCACATTTTCCCCCTTCCTGAGACAGCTCTGCCTATGCAGGGGTGGGAGAAAAGGGCTGAGATTCCCGTAGGTGAAACTGGTCAGGCCCAATTGTGACCAGGCCCAGCCTGCCTGCGCACAGGTCATACCCACGGCCACACAGCTGCCTGCCACGTGAGAGACCACAGCCTCAGGGTGTTATCAAATGTGGGCACCCAGAAATGCCGGTTATTTGTTGAGGTTAGAAAACAATGAGCTTAGGATGAGGTTAGAGCTCCTTTTCTTCCTTTTTTTTTTTTAATTGAATCACCGTGGGATACACAGTTACAAGGTTGTTCATGACTGGGTTTCAGTTACAGGATGTCCCAATACCCAATCCTTCACCAGTGTACATTTCCCACCACCAATGGCCCCAGTTTCCCTCCTGCCTCAGTGTCTCCCCCCGCCCCCATCCCAGCCTGCCTCTATGGCAGGCACTTTTCTTCTGTCTGTTGTCTGGGCATTATAGTTCGCAATACGGGTACTGAAAGGTCTATCCCTCTACCTACTTCACCACTCAGTCCTTTTCTTTAT